TTTTTTTTTTTTTTTTTTTTTTTTTTTTTTTTTTGTTGGACTTCTCGAGTAATCCATATTTATTATGTTTTTATTTGCGTTATTTCTTATCAGATTTTGGCCTTTTTTCTCCTTTTTTTATACAATTTTCATCTGCTGTAACAGGCTAAAACTTGTGACATATTTACGACAATAGTATTCCTACTTTTGAATGTTTACTTTCTTATCAAAAGGTGAAGCCCAGACCAGAGGGGAAGATGGTGCAGTGGTTTCTGGTGCGACTTTCATCGCTACATGGTTTGCTTCTCAAATGCGTCTGCTGGAACCATTTATGGGCAGTGGATTTTTGGGTTTATAACTTATTCCACACTAACCTACAAAATTCTGTATACCGTACCAGGCAGTTTAAATCACGAACAACAAATTGTTTTGCATGTATTCAATGCAAATAAGTTATAAGTGTAGCCAAAAGCAGTGTTCATTACCCAGGGTGGAAGGATATAAGTTCAGATAAAAAAAAAAGCTTTACGAAAAGTGAATATACGGCGAACAAAGTGGTTTGTTCTATTAGACCCTAGGATAATGAAAAAAAAAAAAAAAAAAAAAGAGTGGTAAGAGAAAAACAAAAGGAGAGTTTTTTGAGCGTATCGGTGATGTGGAACAAAGGAGGAAGGTCAGAAAAACCTATGCTGTCAGACAATAGTTCCTGGATGAGCACATTGACGACAAAAAAAAAATGTTTTACGTCTTTGTATTACCTTTTTCTTTGACTGTACGTACAAATTTCCAAGTATTTGTCTGTATTTTGCGATTCCGAAATTGAACAGCGACAGCTGATGGTCAGGAACGAGACGTTTGCGTGTTTGTAGGGGCAGATAATACATTTGTGCTGGGCGACTCTAAACAGTCTTCGTATGAGTGCTATAGTTCAAGAACAACCATCTGGGTCGTCTAAAACGGTTGTTGATGAAGGGAATCCAGAAGAACGTAAAATTGCTTTGAAGGTATTATCGTCATTCAATTATTTTTTTCACTTTTTTTTTTTTGTAATTATACAACTAGTCAATTTTTCGCTCAGATCTGACCTGTAAATTAAAAAAAAACTTGGAAGATTAAATATTTGGCAGCCTTTTTACAAGTAAAATTTTTGTCGCACCTGCGTGTACTTACTGCGCTTTTACCTCTTGTTGTTGATATATGATTTCATTGGATTTCTTTTAGAAGCAAAAACGTGAATATAAAGATGAGAAAAAGAGGGTGGCTTCCGAAATGGCAGCCGCCTTGCGAGATCCAACTGTCGTTATCATGGCTGATTGGCTGAAGGTTAGGGGGACGCTGCGGAAATGGAAACGTTACTATTGTGTACTTGTACCTGGTTTATTTGTTATTTATCGGAATGATAAAATTGAAAAAGTAAGTTATGTTTTTTAGTTGACATTTGCTCTTCAAAGTTGTATACTCTGTCTGTAAATAAACATCATTAAAGGTGTTCCATCGTTTTCGGTATTTTTTTAGGTGTTTCACAGTAAAATTAACTGGTCTTTTTTTTTTTTATTGGTTGCTGAGTTTGCTTTTGAAAGAACTCGGTTGCTAAAGTTTTAAGTCTAGCTGGTATTTAAACGATAGTACACGTTTTTTCTAGAGTTTTTAAGAAGTTTATTTTTTACTGATCTACAGTTGACTTAAACTGAGGAATTGCCATTTATTTTGACATTGAAAAAGTGATTTTTTTTGGATTAACTGCTACTGCAGCTGTTTTAGGTGTTCATTATGACAGTAAGGTCGTCTTTTTTGCCAGTTACATTTATCAGACTACTTCGACGTGCAAATAAAGTCTGAAGATTCTGGGATTTTTCAGCACGGGCAGTGGATTGGTTCTATTTTGCTGAATATGTGCAGCCTTATCGAAAGGCCTTCAAAGAAGAACGGTTTCTGTTTCAAATTATTTAATCCTTCTGATCGCTATATTTGGGCGTCACGTGGGCCGCATGGAGAAATATTTGGAGCACTAACTGTACATAGACTGCCGGGTTCTTATATAATTTGCAGGGCGGCATCTGAACAGGTATTTTTTTGTTTATCATTTTTAAAGAACTTGTTGGTGTACTCTGTTTCTTTTTAGGCTGGAGGCTGTTGGATGGACGCTTTGCAGTTGGCGCTTCGTTGTAATGGTCTTCTTATGAAAACTATGCGTAAGGTTAGGATTAGTCGCATATAAAGCAAAAAGGTCTTTCTTTAAAAAGTAGTCTTCTTCACAGTATGCTTCAATATTTTGCACTGCTACTTTTTTACTTCTCAACTTTCTAACTCAAGAACCTTCGAGAACTGGTTTTAGTTGTCAGATGCGCCACAGAAAGGCGATGCGACACCAGCAAAAGAAGACGATAACGAAAACGTCGATATCGTTCAGTACGAACAAGCAATTAGCGAAACTGAAGCAGAAAAACATTTTGATGGTCCTTTTTCTGATTCATAACTAATAGAACTTATTGAAAATCAATCTCACTCATTTTGCTCGCATTGGATGACTCTGCACTTTTGTACCTTGCCAGTCAGTTTCATTCATGGTGTAATTATAAACCGAGTTCTATCAAACAGTTTTACCCATTGTAGGGCTTGATGATGACAATGAAAACGGGCATTCTGATATCGCTGCTGAAGAAATTGAAGTTGAACAAAGTGTTTACATAGCCTCAGACTTAGAAACGGTTAGTAAATTACAACTTTTTTAAAACGTTTATTGATCACTTATGTCAAGCTTTTTCTGGCATTAATACTAATAGTTTCGATGAAGTTCTGTTTTTTAATTCCTTTTATCAAGCTCACATGGAATGGCTTTGTTATGGCCTTTCAGTTTAACAATAAGCCTGAATTTGCGCAAACAGAGGATCTGGCGGATGAAAACAAAAGTTTGATTTGGAGTTTGCTAAAGCAAGTTCGTCCTGGAATGGACCTATCAAGAGTTACTTTGCCGACTTTCATTTTAGAGCCTCGTTCTTTTCTTGAAAAATTAGCGGATTTTTATTACCATGTGGACATACTTAGCAGGTAAATCTTTATCTTTCGTTGCCTCTCTTTTTCTATTAAAATTTTGTTTTACAACCTCACGTTACTTTCCAGCTGCTGAATATTGGTTTTACTGAACGACATTGGGGGTACAGAATCATTTTAGACTAAATCTCTGAAAGTTTAGTCATCATGGATAATCACAATGAATTAGGGATTTAGATGGAGCAGATTTCTCAGCCGATTTTCACAACATGATTTGGAGACAAGCTCCTTTATTAATCGTTGCCATCTCATCTTGAATGGTTTTTCAGAGCTGCCGCAGAACAAGACCCTTATAACAGGGCCTTAAAAGTAATAACATTTTACCTGAGCGGATTTTACAAAAAGCCGAAAGGTTTGAAAAAGCCATATAATCCGATTCTTGGAGAGACTTTCCGTTGTAAGTGGGAACATCCAGATGGATCAACGACATTTTATATAGCTGAACAAGTATATTCATTTCTTAAAGAATTTCTCTTTGCGGTTTTTTTTCAAAGGTCAAATTTAAGGTTTTGTTGAATTACTTAGTTTGCTGAGTTAAATTCATTTTATCAGAATTTTTCTTAACCTGAAGATCAAGTTTATCAATGCTCTTGCCACTTTATTCAAAAACCCCCCGATTGTTCCTTGTTTTACATATAGGTTTCTCATCATCCACCTATGTCTTCTATATATGTCACTAATCGTAGAGCGGGATTTAACATCGCAGGGACGATACTAGCTAAAAGCAAATATTACGGAAACAGCATATCGGCCATGATGATAGGCAGTCTTCGCATTACATTACTCGATTACGATGAGACCTATACCGTTACACTTCCTTATGCCAATTGTAAGGGTATCATGATAGGCACACTTTGCATGGAGTATGGCGGAGAGGTATCTCTTCAAGTTTTGGCTACGCACTGTAACTATTAAGGATGGCTACCATAAAATTTTTTGTTGTTGCTAAGATCTACGACTTACTATAAAAGCACAATTTTTCTAGTCTTTACTTTTAGGTCAAAATTGAATGTAATAGACATCCTTACATATGCACCTTAGATTTCAAGTTGAAGCCGTTTCTGGGCGGGTCGTTAAATGCTATTAAAGGGACAATAAGGAGAGGAAAAGAAGTGGTTGCGTTAATCGGGGGACATTGGGATAGTGAAATTACACTAAACGAGAATGTGGGTTTTGATTTTCTTAATTCAGACATGGAACTGTCGTTAGATAGTCTTCATCTCGTTCTGCCAATTTGCAGATTTGACCTATAAACTAAAGATGATGTAGTTTAGGGTAAAGAGACTGTCTTGTGGGCTCCATCGCCAGAAATTGTTAAGCAGCGTTTAACAAGATTCGAAATTCCACTGGAGAATCAAGGAGAATGGGAGTCAAAAAAGTAATTGCTTAGGAATTTTTTTTAAGTCCTGAAGTTATTGTTCTTCAGCTAGCTTTCATTTGCTGTGCCAGAGAGTTAATACATCTTTTAGCACCAGTGGTCAGGAATTTTCAGATTGTGGTTGAAAGTTAGCAATGCTATCGTAAAGGGCGACCAAGTTGCTGCTACTGTTGAGAAGTCAATATTAGAAGATGCACAGCGTGCTCGTGCTAAGGAGAGAGATCGTCCACACGAACCGCGACTATTCAAATATTACTCACTTTCGAGAACCTATGAATATCTTCATGCAGAGTGAGCGTGTTGGTCATATTTTCTAAAGAATATTCAGAAGAATGGGCTGCCGTAAAAGCCTTAGAATTATTTTGTAAAGCTTTTAAGAAGCGCAGGTTTTTACCTTTGGCGCTGACGAGAATCTGGTAAACTGAAGTGTAACTTGCAAATGTATTTTCTGCAAAATTTTTTGAGCTAGAAATGCAGATATTTCCTGTGCTTCAAACAACTCGTAGATTTGAAATAAATAATTTTAGGGGTCTCAAAATTATTACACAGTTTCTTTTTAAAAAAGATTTTAAGAGGATACCAGCATGGGGTTAGGAGAAAGGACTCAGCTTTTTACACTGTCATTACAGTTGTCGAAAATTTATATTTTGAGATTACTTTGAAACTAGCTTTGAATTACGACTGAGTAACAGATGAGCCTGAAAGTATACAACTGTTAAGCTTTCGACCTTGGGATAAAGAAGATGATTTAAAACAAGTGGAACTCGATTACAATGTGCGCACAATAACAAGAAGCGGCATTTCTCGAAAAGTTAGCGGCAGTTCAATGTCATTGCGGAGAGAACAGTCAGAAAACTCAGATCTTTCTGAAGGTACAATTATATTTATCGGTATTTTAATTCTGCTTTTGACTTATTATCTGGAAGAATCTTTTTTAATTTACTTAAATTGAATCTTTGTCGTGACTCGAAGGTTTCGCCAGCGATTGTCGTCTTTTGTAGGTTCTGCACGTTGTGTAACTTTTAAAACGAAACAACATGTAATGACGTTGGATCAGTTAGAGCGTATTCAGGTAGTTAAATGACTCGTTCTTTTTGATCCTCACTGTTATTTTTTCTCTTAAAGCTGTCATTAACCAGTTAGAAGTCTGAGACACGCTCTCGGCAAATCGGACCCACTTCTTAAAACACTAGTTTCAGAGCACTGTCGAACGCTCAACTATTGCTTTAAAGACTATAGAGGACCGCTTGGACGCCTTCAACAGTCGTGTAACTCAACCTCAGCTTCTATTTGCACTTGCTACATTTGCTGTCATCCAACTATTAATCCTTCCTTTAGTCATTCCTATGTGCAGGAAAGTATGATTTTAGCTACTACTTGCAGCAGTTCCCTTCATATGACAAAATTTTTTTTAGTCTTGTACAGTTTTATGGAGCATTGAAGACATTGTGTCACTAAGTTTTTGTATATTTATGTATACTTCTGTTCAAAGTTTTATTTATCGTATATGTCACTCGCACATAACTTGCTTTCTCTTCTTAAAACAACAGTATTAAGAATGGTCGTTAGAGTTGTGTTACTATCATTACAGGCTTGTATTACTTGTTGATGTTTGCTCGCTTCGGCTTTGATTTTCCTTTGTTTGATCTCGACATATTCTGTATTCTGTAAATCATGTTTGCAAGTCCTGGTTGTCATCATACCTTTTTAGTAATACTAGCTTCTGATGTTTCCTTTCTGAGGATTACAGAAATTTACATATAACTGACACAACTTCAAGGTCTTTTTAGATCCCCACTGTGTCTGCAAAAGCCCATTACTCCTTGCACTGAGAGGTTAACTCCTCTGTCTACCGCTGTTGAATTACTTTTTCGGTGATCATGATTTTTACTTTGATGAAAACTAGTCACCAGCGTTACATTTCACATTTTCTCATGTGTTTAATGCTTTTTATTTATTCTTTAGTAGAAATAAAGAGTTTCAAATGTAGGGCATGTATTTCATACACTTAGTTTTTCTTCCTCTCGTAACATTACAGAGAACAACTAACTTCCAAGCGTCTATCTCCCAAAAACACCTTATTCCTCATTTGGTTTGATACATTTTTTACGTAATTAGCGGGGTAACACTGGTCTTAGGTAAATGAAAGTAGGAACCACATCCAGAATAAAACGATATTTAATGTGAAGAGCGGGATACCTGCACGCAGTACGTCATCAACTGCGCTTCCGCAAACGGAATACTCCGGAAGAGAACAGGTCTTTGGGCAAGTGGACCGTGGGTATCAAAGGAATGTTGACAGTTTTAAGGCTGCACCACCACCAATACCAAGTCTAATTTTCTTGTTACTATTTCTACGGAAAGGGTAAATGGTTTTGAACCATACTGAATGCTCTGCTTAACACTCAGTTCGTCAATGAGTCGCTATTCCAAAGGTAGTTTGTGGGTGCACGAAAAATGCAAACCGGCATCAGATTAAAAGAACTGCCAGAGCTGAATCTCATGACCGCTCAGATCTAACG